CAAATGCCTCTTTGTCCCAAGATGAGGACTTCCAACTCCTGCAGAGACATCCAGGCTTTGTAGGATGCTCCCCTACCTTGCTCTCATTGCCCCCGAATCATAACTTATTAGTGCCCTTACACATTCAACTGAAATTATTTCCTTCAATAACAGTATCCTCCATTAAACCCTAACCCTATCTTCTCCCATCAGGATAAGGACAGTGTCTGATTCATCTATGTATTCAGGACCCAATCCAGACCTGGAATAGAACAGGCTTCAGTGTTTGCCAAACCCAACCAAGTGTTGAGTGATTACCTAATACCTATGCTTTTCCTGCCTTGGCTTTCAACACCTACCAAATCTGGCCTCTGGGAATGGAGCCCACAACCAATAGTCCTAACAGCTGCACTAGGAGAGCACTTTAATCCAGGGCAGAGAGCTGGGATTCAGGTGTGTACCAACGGCCTTGCATATTTCTTTTTTTTAAAAATCATATTTTTATTGATTTCAGAGAGGAAGGGAGAGGGAGAGAGAGAGAAACATCAATGATGAGAGAGAATCATTGATTGGCTGCCTCCTGCACACCTCCGACTGGGGACTGAGCCTGCAACCTGGGCATGTGCCCTGACCGGAATTGAACCCGGGACCCTTCAGTCCTAGGCTGACACTCTATCCACTGAGCAAACCAGCTAAGGCAAGCTTTGCGTATTTCAAGACCCTCAGATGCTGTTCCTTGCATCCCTGTCTTTCAAAACCAGCTAAGGTGACGATGTAGCCATCAGGCACAGTTTCAGGGTAAGCCCCTACCAGTGAGTTGAGAGGGTAGTTAAGAGCAGATGAGGGGAAACTGGGTCATGCTTATCTAAGCCAAAAACAGATATTCCAGTAACAGACTTGACCATTCTCCAAAAGAAGTGTCCTGTGATAGCCTGCTTGGGTGTTGGATAAGCCCTGTAATTATCTGGTCAGCATTACACCCAACCCTTTACAGGGCTCTGAGAAAATGACTCGCTTCTGTCCTTGGAAGAAATTACGTTTCTGAGTTTTGGTTATATTTCAAAATCATAAAACTATTCCTGAAGACCATCTTCAAAGGTTAGTGCCAGGAGTCAGAACACACAGAAAAAACAGACTCCAGTGGCCAGACCAGAGACTTACAGGAGTGAGAGAGAAATTTGTCCAATCAATGCCAACTGACCTAAAGCTGACGGGGAGGCTCTTTTTTTTTTTAATATATTTTTATTGATTTCAGAGAGGAAGGGATAGGGAGAAAGAGATAGAAACACCAATGATGAGAGAGAATCACTGATCGGCTGCTACCCGCACGCCCCCCACTGGGGATCGAGCCCGCAACCTGGGCATATGCCCTAACTGGGAATCGAACCGGTGACCTCCTGGCTCCTAGGTCGACACTCTACCGCTGAGCTATACCCGGCTGGGCATGGGAAGGCTCTTTAAGACCAGAGAAACGGATTCTTTCCAAGAGGAGAGAGAGTCATAGAGATGACTAAGAAACAGGTTTAAGAAGCTAGCAGAGCTGGGGACTTGGGCACAGGTAGTAGACTCAGGATAAGGACTTGGTCACAGGACGACCAGAAATGAGGTCTGAGGGTACAAACTTGGAGAAAGGATGCAATACCTGGTGGGACTGTAGGCCAATAATTGAGGAGTAGGCCTGGATAGTTACGTAGATCTCAGGCTGGAAGTCGATGCAAGATCCAGGCACTCGGAAGGGCCGAAGCAGCCCTCGGAGGCAGCGGGAGAGGGCATGGAAAACTTCATCAAACAAGATCTCCCCCGTGGAATCATCCTGAGGGCAATGCACACAAAGATCTCTCAAGGGGGAGCAAAGGCAGCCCTGGACAGAGGGCAGAGACAAGCAGCTTTCATGGGTCAGTCGGCCTCCTATCTTCAGGTTGATCGCACCCCCAAACACAGTGCCACCACTGGAATGGGATCTGTCTTTACCCACCATTCCCTTACAGCCTAGCCCGTCTCCTTCCACAATGGTAGGCTGAGACCACTGTTCATTTCTCCCAAGCCTTTCCCTCTCCTCCTCACCCCCACCCCATCCTTTCTCCCACTATCTCCCCCAGCTCCTTACCACAATGCCAGTAGATGGGCTAAGGTCCAGCTCAATGACAAATCGATACTGCCAAGCCAAGAAGGTGACCTGCGTGGAAGGTACGAGGAGGAATGGCCTTGGGACCACTGGTTCATCTGGCTGCCACCCAGGGGGCAAGACACTGAGGACTTCCAACTCCTGCTCAGACTGAAGCTGACCATTAGGATGAAGAGGAAAGAAAAGTGTCAGGAAAGAGACCCTTTTTTCCCAGGGCCTGAATCATTAGGATGAAGAGGAAAGAAAAGTGTCAGGAAAGAGGCACACCTTTTTTCCCAGGGCCTGAACTTCCAGAGCCAAAATGACAAAACATTGGCTCCACCTCCCACAACCCAAGACATACTTTTCCTATCTGGAAAATTATGAAACAAAATTTTCCCTGAAGAACCATCTTGTGGGCAAAGTCACTTGCCCCTCCCAGAGGTAGTTTCCCCTCCTGCCTCTTTCCAGTACCCTCTTAAAAAAAACAGATTTTCTGAGCCGGCCCCTCAAATCCTGTATGTCTCTGGGCCTCACCAACATTTCCTGGGGTGTGGCCTGCACAGTTTGATGCAGGTGATTGAGGAACCAAGCCAGGCGAACATTTCGGGAGATTCGATAATCTTTTTTCATCAACAGAAACACCTGCCCAGCTTCTTCCACCTGGGGACAAAGAGACATTAATAAATTTATAAAAATTCACTGTATTCCTCCTATATACAGGTCATTGTGCAAGTAATTTTTTAAAAATATATTTTATTGAATTTTTACAGAGAGGAAAGGAGAGGGATAGAGAGTTAGAAACATCGATGAGAGAGAAACATCGATCAGCTGCCTCCTGCATGCTCCCCACTGGGGATGTGCCCGCAACCAAGGTACATGCCCTTGACCGGAATCGAACCTGGGACCCTTCAGTCCACAGGCTGACACTCTATCCACCAAGCCAAACCAGCTAGGGCACTGTGCAAGTAATTTGTCCGAGGATCTCACAATGCATAAGTGAGAGGCAAGGCAGCAGAGGTGAAAAGTTTACTCCCACCTCCATGCAAGGTGTACCCAAGGATTCAATCCTCAGCTCTCTGCTCCCATTCCCCCTGCAGATCTCTATATAGATGAAGTGACCTTTACACATTATCAAATGTTCATGTGAGTTTCTCCTATAAACTATAAGCTCCTTGAAAGCAGGGATTGTATCTTGTTCTAGCTTGGTGTCCCTGTGCTTGGCAAATTGCTTAAAACAGAACAGATGCTCAATAATGCCAGATAGTTCCTCCTAATAACCCCAATGACAGCAGAAACTAAAATAGGGATGGGGAACGTCTAGCCCTCAGGCCGTATAAGGCCCTAAAAATCATTTGGTCTGGCCCTGCCAATGCATTAGGGATGAGTTAATTAAATGTTTGACCAAATATAGCAGGCTAATTTTTAAAAAAATATATTTTAATTGATTTCAGAGAGGAAGGAAGAGGGAGAGAGAGACAGAAACATCCATGATGGGAGAGATCATTGATTGGCTGCCTCCTGCAAGTCCCCCACTGGGGATCGAGCCCACAACCCGGGGATGTACCCTTGACCGGAATCGAACCTCAGACCTTTCAGTTCAGTGGATGCTCTATCCACTGAGCCAAACCGGCTAGGGCAAGCAGGCTAATTTTTAAGTTGATAATTTTGTATGGCCTGTGAATGATGTTATAAATATCCAAATGGCCCTTGGCAGAAAAAAGGTTTCCCATCCCTGAACTAATGAAATCATCACTGGGTAAATGGTAAGCCTGTTGATACCTCAAAATCAAACCTCTGTGGGTCACGATCTCCTACCCCCACACCTGCCAGTTATTAACACTCTAGTTCCTTCCCTCCATTGCCTTATGGACAGTTGGTTCAATGTCCTGACAAGCATCAGTTCCCTTGCCCATGTCCTTGTCCTTACTACATAAGTCCTGCCAAGTGTTGACTCAGGCTGTAGTTGACATTCTCTCTCATCCATACATGTACCACACCACCTGCCCTTTGACAGAAAGAAAGTTGCCACCTCTGGCAGGCCTTTACCAATCCTTTTCCTTCTCCCTGGTCAGCACTTAGAGGGTTTTCCAATCCCTCACCCCCATAGTCCTGACAGATAAATGTGCCTACAGTGTCACAGAGAAAATAGGGTCAATCCCCAAACATTTCTCCCTGACTAATCCTTATAGGTATGTAACATTCCTTTTACTCCAAGCATGTCAAACTCTCAGCCCACAGGCTGCATGCAGCCCAGCCAATATGACGGTATGTAAGAAATGTGTTAATAAAAATTTCGTAACTTAAGTTTTACAATATCCTGTTATACATAATTATTAATAATGAACTACAACGCTAATGACGGATTACTATAATAGTGTTGCATTCATTTCCCTTACTCGCCTTATGCGCAGGCGCACCATTTCTCTCCACTAATACTAGCAGCGAATATTTTAGCAGCCGATTGCCACGTCATTAGTCTTGGACTGACTTGTTTGGTGTGCGCAACAGGAAATATTTCACTTTTGGAGAACAAGAAAAATAGGTTTATTTGAGTTACACTTATTAGTTTGTGCAGTTATTCAGTGTCTGGTAAGTTAATGTTCAAGAAAAAATATTAATTTTTATTAAAATGTTCTATTATTTTATGTTAACGATTACTCATTTATTTCAGGCCTTTGTATTCAGCATGATTCTATCGAAATAAACCTCCATTTCTATGAAAATTGAAGCTTTTGTTTTTTTTGCAGCCCACATAAACTTAAACCTTGTTTATTTGGCCCGTGTTAGCCTTTGAGTTTGACATGCTTGCTTTACTCCCTTACTCTTGCCTCAGATGAAAAGATTACTCTCCTGTTCTAGACAAATTGCAAATTTCTCTTCCTGTGTCCCTGACTAGTGAAGGGGAAAATGCCAGGATGTGAGGATTGAAGAGGGTGGTAGAGAAATGAACAGAAAGAAGCCAATGACTGCCTGTTGAGAAATGTGGTGTTGAATGGAAGTGGTTTTTGTCCCTCTAAAATTGGGAAATATGAATGGAGTATAGATCAAAATAGTTCTGGAGAAGCAATAATAGAGGGTGCCTAAAGTCAGAGAAGAGTATGGAGAGTAGAGGTGCAATGACTAAAGATGAAGAAAGTCTTCTCTAAGACAGAGGGCAAGCATCAAAAGCTATAGAAACAGATACTGGGAAATGGCAGAGATGAAAGTAGACGGCAAAAAGAAGAGAGAAACTCATATTGAGTACCTAAAATATATTCAATAATAAAACTATAGAGGTTAAGTGCAAGAATTTCAGATTTATACAGCTTAGGATTCAATCCCAATTTTCCACTTATTAGTTAACCTCTTTAAACTTCAGTGGCCTCATTTGTAAAATGGAGATAATCCTAATACTAATCTAATAATTCTGTTATGCAGATTAAGTGAAATCATGCATATGAAATACTCAACACAGTGCCTAGCACTTAGCAAGAGTAAAATTTAACTATTGCTCCCGGCCCATGTGGCTCAGTGGTTGAGCGTCGAACTATGAACCAGGAGGTCACGATTCAATTTCCCTGATCAGGGCACATGTCCAAGTTTCGGGCTTGAGATCCCCAGTGTGGGGCGTGCAGGAGGCAGCCAGTCAATGATTCTCTCTCATCATTGATGTTTCTCTCTCCCTCCCTCTCCTTTCTCTCTGAAATCAATAAAAATATATTTTTTAAAAATTTAACTATTGCAGTTATTACTAGATGCACAACACTAGGATCTTTACATAGATAATCTCATTCAGTCTTCACACAAAGCATTTAACAGAAGAAAACGGAGATCAAAAGAAGTGGCTTAACATGATTAATAGGTACAGGGTCAGAAGTCAAACCCAGGCCTGATGAGCTGCAAAGCCCTTCTATTGAGAGTGATAAATGGATTAAAGTAGAGACTTATGAGCAGAAAAGATCTAAAGTGGTTATAAGAAGGAAATGGGAGTTTACAAGCAGAAAGGATACTCTGACATAATCAGAAAGACAAATGCTAATTTACACAGTGATTTTATGTGATTCAGCATTATTTTGTATTGTCTCTACACCATCTAGGATCACAGGTCTGGGAAATTCTACTCTCTATTATACTGCTTCTCTACTCTGGGCTGAGGTAGACCCTGGCTAGGACTCTGGCTTTTGTCCTGAATTAGGCCAAGCTATCCAACTCTTTTCTTCCAACAGGACAGAAACATATCTACATTTTAAAAATTCCTTCTGCCCTGGCCAGAGGATTTAACCTTGGCCTGAGGACTGAACATTGGCCTGAGCACTGAAGGGTCACGGGTTCGATTCCAGGTCACATACCTGGGTTGCAGGTTTGATTCCCCAGGGCGAGTGCAGGAGGCAACTGATCAAGGTATCTCTTCCACAATGATGTTTCTCTCTGTCTTTCCCTCCCTCCCTATCTACCTTCCCTCCCTCTCTCCCTCCTTCCCTCCTTTGCACTCTCTCTAAAAAATCAATGGGAAAAATATCCTTGGGTGAAGATTAATAAAACAAATTCCTCTGGATCTTGGAGAAAGAAGCACCGCACTGTGTCATGGTCAGAGCAAGGCTGAGTGGCTGACTCTTACTGCGCTGGGGTCTGGGCTTGGCCCCAGGAGTGGGGCTTCTCCTGGCACCTTCCCACAGATCAGTGGCCTCAACTAGAGAGGGGAGAGGACACTGGCCAGAAAGGGAACACCCACCAAGCCAGAATTGCAGCAGAAAGTTCCCTCCACCCCCACCCTAGGCTTTCTGACCTTCCTCTAAGGCTTGAAATCCAATCTGGATCACTCCCTGGAAATGTCCTTAAAAAGGTTTATAAGAACAAAAAGGAGGATGAACTCAGGCAAGTTCTGGAGGAGATGAAAGCTTTATATGAACAAAACCCATGAAGTGAAGTTAGGTGGACGAAGTAATTTGATACCAACCACCAAATTCCAACACTGTACTTTGCTAGGAAATTGACAGCTGCACTGTAGCATACCTGTATGACCCACTCAGGTGGGAATATAGCAGTGTTTTGCCAAATGTTTTACGATTTCACATGTCTGCTAAAGAAATAGCATGGCTCAATCATTATAAAAAGTTCTTTGCTACTTATGTGAGGTCACTGGGAGGAGATGAAGGTTTGGATATTACATGGGATATGAACCTCCCCAATGCCTATATACTGAAGTACGATGTCTAAAAGACTGAAGAATTTGCAGTTGATGATGGCACTTCAGTCCTATTTAAAAAACTGCAGCACTTTCTACCTGGGTGGAAGTGCAAGCAGCTGATTAGACAAGGCATTCTGGAGCACGTCCTGTGGCAACCTCATACTGAGGCACTGCCAAGCTTCCCTGTGGCACGAGGGTGAACCCATCTATGCAAACTTCTATACTTCCTTCTCCACCCTCCCTTCCCCCCACCCCTCTTTGGTTTTAAAAGTTACAGACATTCTTTAATATAACCAGGAATACTTGGCTGAGGATGGTTTGTTCTCCTATTGTACAAGATTCCTTCTCTTTTTTGTAATCTGCATCTATAATTATAACATTCCTACAATTACCAAAAAAAAAAAAAAAATCCCTCTGGATACCATGTGATTCAGAAAGTTTCCTTAATGACCATGGGAAATGATAGTAATCTAGACCAGAGCTACTCAAAGTAGCCATTCTATGTTCCAGGGGAGACAAGGAGTTGTGCTACCACGTGAAATCACCACTGCCTTCCATTGAGAAAGTCTTGCTATGAAAAAACAAAAGTCAGCTTCAACTAACCTTTGAGACAAGTGAGCTTAGTTGTACTTTAAGATATTTTTAGAATAAGACAGACAAGAACTGGCGATTAATTGGAAGTGAGAAAGAAAGTGATAAAAAGGAAGATGTCAGGGTTGGCTAAGGTAGCATCAGAAACCAGTAAGTGGCAGAAAGATTTCCAAGTTAGCTAGGAAAAATTAATATATTTACCATCACTTTCTAACCACAACCTCCTAAGAAAGTCCCAGCAAATTAGTCTTATTGCCAAGTCCCTAACGTCAGAAAAGGAGTCTACTGGCAACGAAAGAACCTGCAGCAATTACTTGCCCTCTCTTTCTCTGATCCACGGTCTCAGAATGGGATGCTCTCATGAACAGAGCAACCTTTCCCTCAGGATTGACTGAGCTGGTGTGGGTGTGATATTAGTAACCATGCTTGTGTTTGAGTTGACTATGCTGGATCCATGCCAAGCTTCTTATCTGAAAAAGGATAGGCTGGGGCTCAGAGTATTATCAGAACAGGAAAGAATATCCCACCCTGGCTGAGTAGCTTAGTTGGTTGGAGCATTGTCTTGAAGCACCAAGGCTGCAGGTTTGATCCCTGGTAGGGGCACATACAAGAATCAACAAATGAATGCATGGATGGGTGGAGCAACAAATCTGTGTGCGTCTCTCTCCCCCTTGAATAGAGAAATAAATTAAAAACACACACACAATAGGAAGAATATCCAATTTAGCAGTCCTTCATGTTTATCACCCTATCCCCAGGGCCTAGTGCAGTGCCTGGCATATAAGATGCTCAAAACAATTTTGCTAAGTAAGTGAATTCACGCTATGTTCTCAGCAAAGTAAACTTAACATTTAGAACTAATCATAATCAGTACAATTGTTCTCAGGGTGAGAAAATCTTAACATTAGCCTCCATACTATTTTCCTTTTGTTCTTCTTTGGTAGTGAGAGCACATGTCCAAGGGTCAACACTATAAGGACAGTCGGGACATTTGGTCACTCTATCTTCTAGAACTAAAATCTTGGCAATGATTTCCTGCACTGTTAGGTATCTCTGTTGGGTATTCACAAAGCAGTCTATAATTCTTCATAGCACCCACCACAGTTTACAATAAAAGAATTTATGTACTTTTTATTTTATTTATTTATTTATTCAAGTTATAAGAGGAAGTTTATTTAGAAAGTCACAGAGGTAGTAGAGGTGAGCCAGCTGGGCTGCGTAGGCTCAGGAAACAAGTTGCAGAAGCAAAAGAAGGGCCCTTGGAGCCTAGGAGAGAGAAGGGCAACGGTAACATGCGTGGAGGGTAGTGGGGGAAGGGAAAGGTGCTGAGCAAGCTATTTATGCACTTTTAAAAATATGTTTTAATTAATTTTTTTAGAGAGAGGAAGGGAGAGGGAGAGAGAAGAAAACATCCTTTGGCTGCCTTCTACACACCCCCTATTGGAGATCGACCTAGCAACCTGGGCATGTGTCCTGACCAGGAGTGGAACAGACAACCTCTGGGTACATGGGAGGACATTCAACCAACTGAGCCAAACTGGCCAGGGCTTTATGTACTTTTTAATGTTTGTTTCTCCTACAGGTCTAGAAGCTCCAGGGAAGTAGGGCTTTGTCTATATATTGTTCTTTGCTGTATCCTTAGAAACTAGCACAGTGCCAAAGCACACTAAGTATTTAAATATTTGTTGAATAAATGCATGAAAGAGAAATTGCTCTCACAATCAATTTACCAGTTATTCTTAATTTTTCCACTTTTATCAACATCTGCTCTTTGTTGTTCAAGAGTTTCCATCCTTCCTCATCACCCACTTTATGGAAAAACTAGCAAATCTATTGTTTGGGGTTTTCCTTTGCTTTCATGAAAGCTGTGGTATTTTTTTGTTTGTTTGTTTTTAAGCCAGTTTTTTACTAGTCTGTTCTTTTCCAGTATTATCTTCTTTTTTGCTGTTCTTGGAATCTGGGGAGAAGGTTCTGGTGTGCATTCTAATAGATTTGTTTTGAAAGAAAGTATGATTTGATAGCTGAGACTATGGGCTTGAGCTTTCGTCCTCCTCTATAAAATACCACCAGCTACCCCAAAGGTATATGAAAGCACAAATGCACACATCAGTATAATAACAAGTCAGGCAACAATCAGTTGCTTCTGAGTCTATCAAACATCTGATGACAGCCTGGAGTCTTTGCTTTTCCGTAATAAGTATCTCCAGGTTCTTTAAGTACGTCTCCAACAGCATGACTTCAAATTTCCTCATTATTTTATTTTATATCATATGCCTATGAATGAACTCTGGTTGATCTACTTCTCAACTTAAAATGTGGGGGCCGATATGGAACACAATAGCCAGGTGAGGTCACACATTCAGAGTCCCCTAGGTTCTATTTACATATTTAAAAGCTTTATCATACCATACTCAGGAAACCTCCATGACTTTCTCTCTTGTGCTGCTGTTCAAATCTGTCCTCATGTAGCTGGCTTTTGGGACACATACAATTATTCAATTAGTCCTATTATATTCGATAAATTCAGTCTATTATTCTATTGTGAAGCTAGGAGAGGGCTCCTTTTTCTTCTAATAAGTCTCTTTACAGCAGCGGTTCTCAACCTGTGGGTCGCGACCCCTTTGGGGGTCGAACGACCTTTTCACAGGGGTCGCCTAAGACCATCGGAAAACACATATATAATTACATATTGTTTTTGTGATTAATCACTATGCTTTAATTATGTTCAATTTGTAACAATGAAAATACATCCTGCATATCAGATATTTACATTACGATTCATAACAGTAGCAAAATTACAGTTATGAAGTAGCAACGAAAATAATTTTATGGTTGGGGTCACCACAACATGAGGAACTGTATTAAAGGGTCGCAGCATTAGGAAGGTTGAGAACCACTGCTTTACAGCTTAATTTCCCTGCTAATTTGATCAGGATGCCATCATCCTCATCCAAGTCCAAAGAGGACAAAGGCAAGGTGAGCATGCATTCATTTATCAGCCAACAAATTTATGAAAAGCCTGCCACATACCAGCACTAGGTCCTAAGTATACAATGGAAAGCAAAAACTGGCATTCTCTATTCTCACAAAATTTACCCAATGGAAAAAAAAATCAAGTCACTACTCTAATTATTTTATTATTATAAACTGAGTAAATTCACCAAAGGATAAGAATGGGGTTCTATGATAACATGTAACTAAGTAATCTGTCCCAGGCTAGGATCTTAGGAGAAAGAGACACTGAAGGTTAAACAGGGTTTGTTAAGTGAGGAGGGAGAGGGGGATAAACCAGATGGAGGGTATACATGATCACTGTGCTATTAGAAAACTTTCTTTAGATTATTAGTTAGTAGGCTGCTTAATTACACTACTATACAGCTTCCATTTTTCCACCTTGTCTCTAAAGTCATTTAGAATGATGGACTGACTGTTCAAGGCCAAGCTGGAGTCTAGTTCATCAATCAGTTCTTACAGAATCCACTATCTTGAAACCAGGAACAATTTTTCTCACAACATTCCCCCTTATATGTGATCCTTCAAAGTCAACAACCACGTTTTCAAAACATCCTTATGTTTTCTTCACTTTCAAGGTGTAATTTATCAGAACCAGAGGACTTAAAAAGATTTAAGCAGCTCGGCCATGTGACTCAGTGGTTCGGTATCAACCCATGAACCAAGAGGTTACTGGTTAGATTCCCAGTCAGGGCAAATGCCTGGGTTTCAGGCTCGATCCCCAGTAGGGGGCGTGAGGCAGCCTATCCATGATGTTTCTCTCCCTCTAAAAGCATATTTATTTTAAAAAAAGATTTAAGCAGCTCCAATGGTATTTTTCAAAGTGTGATCCAAGGGCCAGCTGCATCAGGATTACCTGAGGTCCTTATCAGAATGCAGACTCCTGGGCACCACCCCAAACCAACTGAATTAGAGTGGATAGGGTTCAGGAATCTACACTTAACAAGCTCCCCAAGTGATTCTTCCACTTTAATGTTTGAGAATCCCTGAATCCGTGGTGTTCTCACAGTGCCTACACTCATACAGAGCTTCAAGTTCCTAATATTTAATCCTCCTGAGTCTGAAGTGCATTATACTTAGAGGAGTCTGGCAAAGAGAAAGCAGGGTTTTGGAGTCAAGAGATCGATCTGAAATTAAATCTGGTTCTACTACTTACTAGCTAGGTGAGCTTGGACAAGTTACATAATTTTTCCAGGCCTCAGTTTCTTCATTGATAACATGTGGATAAGAATATCTATTTCATAAAGATATTGTTGTAATTAAACAGGAGAATCAGAACAATGATAGAGGAAGCCTATCATTCTTTGGAACAATTATTGAGACCTACATACCATTTATAACAAGATGAATAAAACATCATCAGATACTGCACTGCATATCATGTATATCAGTATAAAGGAAACATTCCCATCTCATTAACTTGTTTTTTGCACCTGGCTCCTTGTAGTTGAGATATAATCCAAGCTTTGTGCTGTTTTCTGTTAAGAGTCCCATGAAAAATGTAGACTTTCCCCTCCACCTCCCCCCCTTGAACTGTCTGAAGCCTCCTTACCACTATACTCTAGTATGGCCTCAACCTGATCTCCCCCTGAGTTAGAGCCCCTAGGATCGAATGCATGTTCTGCTGCTTATCGGTGGAAGGTCTTGGTGAAGTTATGTAAACTCTCTGTGCCTTAGTTTCCTTATCTATGAAAGGGGGATAATAAAAGTACCTATTTCATGGGGGGGGGGGGTGTTTAGAAGTATTATATGACCTTTAGCAAGCACCTGTGTTAGCTATTCTCATTGTCACATTGTAGCCACTAGCAGCTGCTTCCTCTCAGTTCTCCAAAGGCTCAAGCTCCTTCTCACTTCAGAATTCTCACTATTCCTTCAGTCTTCTCATTCTTAAGGCTTAAATGTTATTCCTCTGAAGCAACTTCCTGATCCACCTCAGCTCCCACCATTGCTTAACAAAGTAGGTTAAGAACTGTTGTTAAAGCTTATTGGCTTAAATGTACTCTCCTTTGGTGGGGTCCCTTTGGGGGCCAATTGGGAGAAACAGAAACCAATAGTGCAACGTTTTGATACTGAAAACTGAACAAGTATCTTTTTAAAATAAAGAACCAATCCCTCCAAAAAAAAAAACAAGAAAAAAAACTGCTGTTAAATACTCATTCACTCTGTATTTTTCCTTGGCAGCACCTATTATCATAATTCAATGTTTGCTTACTCCATTAAAATAAGGAACATGTCTTACACTGCCCCATATCCACCCTGATAATTAGTACAATTCTGGATCCATAACAGCACTCAAAATATTTTAAGTATTTGATGAACGAATGATTTCTTAAATCTGACTATGCCCAAACGTTCTCTCTAGGGGTGGTATCAACCCTAAAGGTCAGTCACTTTTCTGCCCAGGGGCGGAAGAATTCTTTACCCCCTTTACTTCCTGAGATAACATTTTCAGAAATGCAAATCGAGAACTTAACAAATGCTTAATCTTTGGCTGAATGAGATTCCCAGGAGTGTGTTTTGACTCTGTTACTTTAGATCTGCACTGTTCAATATGGTAGCTGTTACTGCATGGGGCTACTAAGCACTTGAAGTGTTGTTAGTATAAAATGATATGTGCTGAAGTGTAAAATACACACTAGACTTTAAAGATTTGGTACAGCCCTAACTGGTGTGGCTCAGTGGATAGAGCATCGGCCTTCGGACTGAAGGGTCCCAGGTTCGATTCCAGTCAAGGGCATGTACCTTGGTTGCAGGCACATCCCCAGTGGGGGGTGTGCAGGAGGCAGCTGATTGATGTTTCTCTCTCATTGATGTTTCTAACTCTCTATCCCTCTCCCTTCCTCTCTGTAAAAAATCAATAAAATATATATATATATATAAAAGATTTGGTACAAAAAAGAATGTTAATATCTCATCATTTAAAAATATTTATTATAAATTAAAGTAATATTTTGGAAATATAGGATTAAATAAATATATGACTAATTTTTCTCCGTTTCTTTTTACCTTTTTAAATGTGGCTACTAGGAAATTTACATAGATGGTTTGCATTAGGTTTCTACTGGACAATGCTGTTTAAGACTATCTGCCTATAAAGTATGTTGTATTTCCCTATTTTATTTCCTTGTTTTAATCCATAACAAAATAGACTATAAATTATTTCATGGTTTTTCTCAATACTGGTATTTCTGATGCATGGGCTCTTCCTGTGAATATGTATGATTATTTTAAATAAGGCATCATTTCCTACTTAATCCTGAGTCTCATCACATCAAATCCCAGTGAACTGGAGATTTACCATCCCATGGCTACTCTATTATTTATAAATATTTATTATTATTAAACATTATGGTTAAGAACATAAGATCTGGAGCCAGGCCCCCTGTTTTTGGAGTCCTGGCTCTACTACTTACTAGCTGTGCAACTTTGTTTCTCTGAATTTCTCTGTGCCTGTTTCCACAACTGAAAAATGGGGATGGCAATACTGTCGACTTCATAGGGTTGAGAGCATTCATTGGTATTGGTAAAGTGCTTAGGATGATGCCTGGTATGCAGTAATCATTTAGTAATGACTATTATTTGTGTCATCACACACACCCCTCACCCTTCCCACCTACTCATATTCTCTTGTAATATTGGACACCTCCCCTAGTGATGTTGCTCCTTCCAAATCTGAGCAATTTTATGCTCGGAGCTTCTAACTCCAGAATTCTGCTACCCACCAGCTGAGTGGCACTTGAGAAAGGTACTTAACCTCCCTCACTTTCCAATTTCCTTTATCTGTGAACGAGAATGGGTGTTGCCACCTTCCTTGCACGAGTTTGAATAACACAAGGTATATGACGTTTCTTTCGTGGTCCTTACCACCTAATTGATACCTCAAATGCATTTTTCTGGTTTAATACTTGTGATCCTCACAACACACCACGAGATAGGTATTTTATGAAGGAAACAACATCTGGGATGTCAAAACTTGCCCCAAGTTAGCTCAATAGTGGAACGAGGTTTCACTCCGAGTCAAAAATATTTTCACGACATCAAAACTGCTTTCCCTAAGCATGAACGCTAGAAATAAATTATTTCATGCTGTTTATGGGATTCCAATGTTTGAAGAAATGCAGAAATCGGCAAAGTAAGTCTATCGCCCTGTTGCCCCCTGAAACTGCAACAGAAAATCAAAATAAAGGGTTTAATACTACTATTAGGTCAAAGCACCCAAGAGCCTTAGAGTCGGCGACGTGGATGAAATTTCAGTAAACAACACAAAGCAGCGAGTTTCCCCTCGAGGAAATTGCGGACCTCGGGAAGGAGGCTCAATTGACAGGCTTTCGGGGCTGGCCCGGTCGCCCCAAGACCCGGAGGAGGCCAC